TCTCGATATTTTGTACTCTCTTTAATATAGTGGATTTCTCATCTCCGTTGTGGACGTAGGTCAATTGACCGAACCACGTTAAATGTTTGTGTCTCTTTTGGTATATTTCTCTTTTGTTGTTTGATTTATCGTCACTGAAGATTTGCTTTGTAAGATTCCGCATGACACCTAAATATTTTGGTCCTAACAAGTGGTATCAGAACGAGGTTCAAGATATGTTCATCTTGGCGGGTTCAGTTCTAGCCGCAACATATTTGACGATAATCGTGATTTTTGTCTGAGAAATTTTACCGGTGTGCTGCGCACGTTGAGACAAACGTTGTGGTGGAGATTTGGAGATGCGGCCTGTTGAAGGCTATGTGAAGAAGATGGATCAAGTTTATTTTGTCAGAAAATTCAGGCCAAGGGGGAGAATTGTTAGGTGTTTGTCCAGATTTTCTTTGATGGCCGCAAGTCCTTCATCGCAAACGATTTGCTCAACTGCTTCTTAAGGACTGCAATTCTGGATTTATTCTTGCCAACAGTAAGCATATCATACACGTAAAGCAATAAGACAATAAAATCTTGGGCATTCACCGATATAGAGATAGAAATGAGTTATTTTTGTCCCAAAAGCAATACATTGAAAAAGTACTCAAGAGTTTCAATATGACAGATGCATAAGTGGTTAGTACTCCTCTTGATAAACACTTCAAATTGAGTATTAGTCAGATTTTATCTACTGATGAAGAGAAAAAGGAGATGTTTCGTATTCCTTACTCTTCTTCCGTTGGTAGCTTGATGTATGCTATGGTTTGCACTAGACCAGATATTGCACATATCGTTGGTACTGTTAGTAGATTTCTTTCTAATCCTGGAAAAGAACATTGGGATGCAGTAAAATGGATATTAAGGTATTTGAAAGGTACTGCAGATTTGAAGTTGTGCTTTAGCAATGGCAAGCCTCAACTTGTTTGTTACACAAACTCTGATTTAAGAGGCAATCTTGATAATTCAAGATCCACTTCCGGTCATTTGATCACTTTTGCAGGGGGAGCTATTTCTTGGCAATCTAGACTACATAAGTGTATAGCTCTATCCACCACAGAAGCTGAATGTATTGCTGTAACAGAAGGTGCCAAAGAACTATTATGGATAAGGAGTTTATTAATGATCTTGGCTTTGAGCAGCCAAGGTACATCTTATTTTGTGATAATTAGAGTGATATATGTCTCACCAAGCACTCCACTTTTCATTCTAAAATCAAACATATAAATAGAAAGTATCATTGGATAAGAACGGGCGTGGAAGAGAAATTATTTGAGGTTGAGAAGATACACACTGATGAAAATCCTTCGGATCTGCTGACAAAGGCGGTGGTTGCAAATAAACATGAATTTTGCAGAAAATTGGCAGGCATGAAGCCTATCAATAGTTCCTCTACTTGAAGACATATTTGGCCCCTTGACTGGAGGGGGAGTTTGTTGGGCCCATGCACATGTTGTCCAGCCAAAGGCTCAATGGCCTAATCATATTCTCTTTGTTAGGATCGAAAAATTCAGGTGTCATGCGGAATCTTACAAAGCAAACCTTCAGCGACGATAAATCAGACAACAAAAGAGAAATATACCAAAAAAGACACAAACATTTAACGTGGTTCGGTCAATTGACCTACGTCCACGGCAAAAATGAGCAATAGAGAGTACAAAATATCGAGAGAACAACCCCACGAAGAGGCAAACACAAGTGACACACTAACACTTGTCCCGTAAAGTTCTCCCCCTAAACACGATTCTCAAACCACATATGGCTACATTGTGGATGCTACTGAATGAGAAGGACGGGTCTTCAATTTATAGAACTCCAAACCTTTTCCTACAAGAAAAGGGACTAGCCAAATATGGAAGAATTATATTTTTCTTCTAGGCAAAGAAAACCCCAATTATGGTAAATATGTTATTCTTTCCTTCATGAGATAGGAAAACCAATTAAGGTAAGAAAATCTGGACAAACACCTAACAATTTTTTCCCTTGGCCTGGATTTTCTGACAAAATAAACTTGATCCACCTTGTTCATATAGCCTTCAACAGGTCGCATCTCCAAATATCCACTACAAAGTTTGTCTCAACGTGCGTTGCAAACTGGTAAAATTTCTCAGACAAAAATCACGATTATCGTCAAATATGTTGCGGCTAGAACTGAACCCGCCAAGATGAACCTGTCTTGAACCTCGCTCTGATATCACTGTTATGTCGAGGAAGAGGCAAACCCGAAAATAAAGAAGATAAAAAATACCAAAATTTAACGTGAAAAATCCTTCAAATCGAAGGTAAAAACTTCAGGATCACAAAGATCCAAAAAAACTCCACTATAATAATAAGAGGGTTACAAAAGTTCTCAAAATTGGCTACACAACAAAACACAGAGCAACAATAGCAACGACAAATCAATTGAAGACAGAGGAGAAGTCACAAAACTGGAGATGTTATTCGGGGAACAAAATCAGATGCTACAGCTCACAAAATCCGATCTCCACCGTTCAAATCACCAAGACGTTATGAACACTCAGTCAAAATTTCAGCCCGATCCAACGGTTAACGAATCCGTAAACGGAATTTGAAGTTGGTTGGTCGGAATAAAATCTTCATCAAAACGAATACTTTTCTTCTCTCTTCTCTCTTGATGAAAGCTCTCTCAAAAATCACTCTTATGTGCTTAAGTCTTTCAAAGACTTGTACCAATGAGCATTGAACAATTCTCCAAGGTTGTCCTATTTATAGATAATGAGTGGTGCTTTCTCTTAAAGCCAAAACCAACGCTAAATAGAAATAAAAACCGAATCCAATTCCGAATAGGAATGGAAACCAAAAGAGAATAGGATTAGGTCATTGGGCCTTTGGCTGGACAACATGGGCATGGGCCCAACAAAAAGATGGGACAAATCAGAATTTGTTGTCTTAAGTATAATTTTAAATTACTCACAGTTAACATACTCTGAGTAATTTATAATTTTTGAAAAAAAAAAAAAAAAAAAAAAAAAAAGGAGATGAGACATTCTAATTTCTAAGAGGTAATAAGGCAAAGAAAAGGTATACTAAACATTTTAGACGATAATAGAAAATGTTTAGTTCACATAGTTCAACGAAAGTTAGTAGACTTGTACGATATATAGATCAATCAATAAAGTAAAAAGTGAATTCAAACTTTAAACTCTATCTTGTAAGTTCTTCATAAATAATAAATTTAACTTAACTTAAAAAATTCAAGATCTCAGCAAAATTTGAAGCTTGATTCTAATGGTACCAATTGGTTGCTTCGCCAAAAATGCATTTTTATTTCCTAATCTAGAGTTGCAAAAGCACAGTTGCTCTTAAAACCGCGCCAACCTTTAAAAAATCAATTAAGATTAATGTGATTATAACTTATGATGTGTAGAATGAAAAAGACTTTTTTGCCTTGATGTAGACTGTTGTCATATCATGTGGCCATTATGCAAAAGGATTGCAACATGTGCATCGGCAAACTTGAAATGTTTTCTGCCTTTTGAGGATGCAAAGATAAATTTGACACATTGAACTTAAATTTAAGCCAAATTAAATTAATTCATTAAAAAAAGGGGGGGGGGGGGGGAGGGGGGGTGATAGTCACAAGTTCAAGTACTAACTAATTAATTAGCCATAATCATGTTATAGAAGTTTATGCAAAAATTAGAATGCATACAGCATGTAAACATTGAATGAGAATAAATATGTTTATTAAGTTTATAGTTGAAAAAGAATATAGTACGGAAAGACCATCATTATATTTTGAGGAAAATATGATCTTGAAAAAGGATAGAAAAATCAGAGAAAATTGATCTGGAACTGCTACTTCACTTACTTCTTCTATTTTCTCTTTTCTTTTTACTGTCTCATTTAGTAGCCACATCCCACAGCTTAGAAACTTGACAATTTACAGTCTTTTCTTTTTTCTTTCTTTCTCCGGTTGGTACTTAAAGGCTTGAAGCTTGAGAATCGTATTTCAACTTTTATTATCCAACATTTTTTCTTTTTTCACGAGTGAGGCTAGTAAAGCCTTTATTTTAGGCCCGCAAATTTTTGAGGCTATAAAAAATATTAATGGTGGAATACAAATAATATTTTTGCTTAGACAATATTGAAGTTTAACAAAAAAAATACAAAATTTGTGTAAAAAGAAAGAAACAAAGAATGTCTACTTTTTAACATTTAAAAAAAATTAGAACTTAATTAAATTACTCAAATCTTCATATTAGTAAATAAAGCTTTTTTTACAACAAGATCCAAGATAATGTATTACAAACATATGGCTAATGTCTTATTAACTTGAATTAACCCTTGCTAATATAAATAATAATGTTACTAAGTGAAGTTAAAAGTATACTACACTATAACAAGTACGAAAAAAATAAAAAGATAACATTAAATTTTTTGCATATATTTATATAAGCGCCCTTACTTTTCAAGATTACTTTTCTAAAACGAATTATACAACATTGCAGTTAGAAGGGAGTTCATGTAACAAACTTCTCCCATATTCAGTAGCCCCACGTATGGGACAAAAAGGGTTCATTAGTTGCAGTAGGCAGATCCTCAAGTTCCTGCGGAAAGCACAAAATTATTAAAAATAAAATAAAAATATCTTATAACAAAAATTCGAAGAAACTATCTCTTCAGCAGTAGGCTGTTGTGATTTTCTATAATTATGATTTGTCCCATTTTTCATATCTTTACGAAGATATCTTCATATTTCCTTTGGAACTTATCTTTTTTGACAGTCGAAATGCAACTCTTCTCTATTAATGCTCTGAGAAATGAAGCAAACATACACTTAATATAAAAAAGGCAAGAAGGCCTTCTTGCCACTTAAAATTGTACCGGATTGCCAACCCGGTAAACGAACTTACAAGTTTTCCAATTTAACACCTCTACTTTATAGAATAAGGAGTAATAAACACCCCTGACCGTTGATTATGCATACGTGGAAGAAACATGGCTGACATGGCCAAACTACGTGCAAATCACACCTAAATGGCGCATGAATATAGTAGTTTTAATAAAAAAAATATTAAAATAAATAAAAATATATAAATAATAACAAAAGATAAAAAATAATAAAAAGAAAAATTAAGATCAACACTTCCTCCCACCTCCTTCGTTCCCACCCCTTTTCCCCATTCTTTCCGCTTCTTATCTCATCCCTCGCCCCAGCCTTTCCTCCCCAAGCCTCTTCATTCTTTTCTTTATTAACCTTTAATTAGTTGAAATAAGAGATTTTTTTTTAATTAATTGAGTATAAAGTTTTAGAGAGAAGGTAACCTACAACTCGATTTTCGGCATAAGAAAATCGCAACAGTTTCTCCGATCTGGTCCGATGGTGATGGAAAATTTTGGACGAGGTTCTGGCGGAAAAAAAAGGCTCTCTTCTTCACATTTAAGTATTTGGAGTATTTTTTTTTGGAGTATGTTTTTTGTCAACAAAGGAGATGATTGTGATTTATGGTTAAGGTCACTTTAGAAGCTTTTCGATCTGGTCAACGCTCATCTTTTTTTCTTTTTTCAGGAAAAAAAAATAGCGGCAGGGGTGAAATGCCATTTCTGATCTGTTTTGTTTGTGCCAATGAGCTTGGTAGGAAGGAAGTCTCGACGGACATGGTGATTGAGGTGGTTGAAATCAAATAAAATAAGATGTTTGGGCAGAGATGGTGGCTAGATATTGATAAAATGAGTAGGCAACACGGAGAGCGAACTATTCATCGCCGACCAGAGACATTACAAGGGAGTTCTCCGGCCAACTTGAGTTTATTGCTGGTTTATGAGTTTCTTGCATGTTTCAATTGTGGTGGGGAAAAAAAAAGAAGAAAAAACAGTTAAAATTTTGACAAATTAGAATTAAAAAGGTGGGACCACAAATTACACGTGTCAAATTATGAAAGGTTAAGCATATGACATGTCATTTGTGTCATAGCAATTGAGGAACACGCTCAAACCTATGTGTTTATTACTCCTCATTATATGAAGTAGAGTTGCTAAATTGGAAAACTTGTAAGTTCGTTTACCGGGTTGGCAATTCGGTACAAGTTTAAGTTCAAGTTAGCACGTCATATCTTATTCACAGTATTGATGTGGACAATTTGCATTTGTGATATTCGCCAATATGTGTTCTTCTTGACCCTTATTAGGGCTGGCTCAAGGGGAGACTAGTAAAGCTTTGGCTTTAGCCCCAAAATATTGAGACTCCAAAAAATTGTATTAATTAATTTTGTAATTTTTTTCGCTTAGATAATACTCTATCCGTTCACTTTTAGTTATCCACTTTGAACTTTTCATGCCCCATAAGAAATAATAATTGTAGTATGTATTTTACCATATAACCCCTAATAATGATAGTATTTCAAAAGTCTTGAAAAATAATTTTAAAAATGAGTATTTAATGATAGGGGTAAAACATAAAAAAAATTTATCTTTCTCTTAATTTAGTATAGTGGACAAGTAAAAGTAAAAATATATTTTTAATATAATGGATAAGTAAAAGTGAACAGATGGAGCATTGAAGTTGTAGAAAAAGAAAAAAGTACGGAATCTTTATAAGAGAAATAAAAAAAGATTGTTTTATTTTTAACAATAACTACGCCTCAATCCCCAATAAAGCTCGGGACTGTATTTTTTTAACAGTAGAAATATTTTAGAATTTTGAATTAAACTACTCAAATCTTTATATTAATGAATTTTTTTTGTAATAACATTCAAGGTAATATATTATGAAAACATGGCTAACATCTTATTAACCCGAAGTAACATTTATCAGTATAATAATAATATTACTATGTGAAGTTAAAGACATACTGTAATGACCCAACCGGTCATTTTGACTTTTAGAAACTCATTCCCTAAAATAAAACTCCCTGAACATGCTTTTATTAATTTATGACTTGCGGGGATGGTTGGTTCGGAATTTGGAAGTGTGTGGGTTGAAATCAGAACACTTGGTTTCTTAAGTTAGCTTTAAATGGACAAGTTTGATTTCGGTCAACATTTTAAGAAAACGACCCCGGAATCGGGATTTGACGGTTCCAATAGGTTCGTATAATGATTTTGGACTTGGGCGTATGTCCGAATCGGATTTTGGATAACCCGGGAGCGTTTTGACGCTTAAATAGTAAAAATCAACTATTTGAAGGTTTAAACTTCTTTAAATTTGGTTTGGAGTAGGATTTTTAGTAATTGAAGTCCGTTTGGAATTCCGAGTTTGGAAATAGTTCCGTATAATGATTTAAGACTTGCACGCAAAATTTCATGCCATTCCGAGTATTTAAGTATATTTCGGCACATTGGAAGTAAATTGACGAACTTAAAATTCTTAAGTTTGAATCAATTTGGTTTGAGGTGTGATTAATAAATTTGATGTTATTTTACGCATTTCGTGAGTTCGAGCGAGTCCATTTTATGATTTTAAACTTGTTGGTATGTTCGGGCGGGGTTCCGGGGGCTCCGAGTGTCAATCGGACGAGGCTCGGACCAAGTTGAAAGTTGGGAACCAAAGCTGAGGCTCCCAGCTACTGTCAGAATCGCACATGCGCTTGGCCAGCCGCAGGTGCGGCAGTATCTCGCAGATGCGAGTTTTTGTGCCCAGAAACGAAAAAGGGAAGGGGCAATCGATCGCAGATTCGGAGAATTTGCGCACATGCGGACGCGCAGGTGCGAAGCTTTGTGCGCAAATGCGAGAATTGGCCAGGCAAGTGGAACTCGCACCTGCGAGGATTTTCCGCAGGTGCGGTACTCTGTCCGCGGGTGCGAAAGACATGTTTGGCAGAAAGCTTAAAAGAACGGGAATTCACCATTTTTGCCCATTTTCTTCCATTCTGAGGCGATTTTGGAGCTTTTTTACAGGAGATTTCAACTAACAACTTTGAGGTAAGTTAATTTTACACCCTTTGAGTTAAATACATAGATTATGGGTAGATTATAGCTAGTAAATCTTAAAAATCAAGGGTTTAGGTAAAAAAACCTAAATTTTTATAAAAGTGAGATTTTAACCACGAAAATAGTTATGAAATTGAGTAGAAATTATATATTCAAGTTTTTGAGATTATGAGTAATGTTTTCATCCGAAAATTTTCAGAATCTGAGTACGTGGGCCCAAGGTAAAATTTAGGAATTTTACCATTTTGGATAGAGTAATTTATTTAATAGATGAATTTAGAATTATTGAACATATATTAATTATTTTATGTAACTTTTGGATAGTTTCAGATTTTTCGGCATTAAATCGAGAATTTTACGCGACACGACAATCGGAAAGTGGACTTTGAGATAAGGTAAGTCTCTTGTCTAATCTTGTGAGGGAGAAATTACCCCATAGGGATTAAATTGAATAATTATTGCTAATTGCGGGGGCTACGTACGCACGAGGTGACGAGAGTCCGTGCGTAGCTACTATAAATGCTAAAGTCTGGGTAGTTTAGGACTCGAAGCATGAATTACTTGTGTAAATTGTATTCCCTGATTAATTAATATTAAATTGATATATATGAATATATTGTGAATTATTAGATAAAGATATTAAAGGATGAAAATCTCATATGCTTGATTTTCTGTTTAAATCAATTAATTATTAAAAGAAATTATTCTTCCTCCCGAATTTATCTCATAATAAATATACTCTCCCTCCGGAGGTACATAAGAAAATGTCCTCTTTTCTTGTGGAGCGGGTCGAACGCCTCGACACGATAGATGCATCTATGGATCGCGTCGCACGTCCCTCGGCAGTGTACACGACACTCTGGATCGGGTCGTACATCCTCGGCAGAAATCGTGCTTAATAATAATAATTACACGATACTTTAATAGCTTATTTCAGCTTGCGAAACTAATTGATAAATTGAAAAATACTTGGAATTTAATGAATTATTATTCTTGCTTGTTAAAAAATTAATTGTTATTCCTGTAAATGATATTTAATTGATAAATTAGAAATTATTTGAATTGAAGGAATTTGATTATTTTCGCTGATTAAATAAAATTCTGTAAATCATGCTGATTTAAATATCCTAGTTGTATTTCAATTATTATTATTGACCCATAGTGAATGTCAAAGTTNTCAATTAATTATTAAAAGAAATTATTCTTCCTCCCGAATTTATCTCATAATAAATATACTCTCCCTCCGGAGGTACATAAGAAAATATCCTCTTTTCTTGTGGAGCGGGTCGAACGCCTCGACACGATAGATGCATCTATGGATCGCGTCGCACGTCCCTCGGCAGTGTACACGACACTCTGGATCGGGTCGTACATCCTCGGCAGAAATCGTGCTTAATAATAATAATTACACGATACTTTAATAGCTTATTTCAGCTTGC